CCACACATATTTTTTGAAGGGACCTACTTCCCTATCAAAAGAAAAGCTACTGACCGTATCCTACAACTGGGGTCGGGTAAAAACCCTAAACCCCAACCCCTAAACCCTAAACACCTAAACCCGAAACCCTAAACCCCTAAACCCTAAACCCCTAAACCCTAAACCCCTGAACCCTTTAAACCCCTAAACACCTAAACCCAGAGTCACCCCAGAAGAGAACCCAGGCAAGGGCCCGGTTCATGAGAGAGATCTCCCCGGCTTCCATGCTCCTGGGGACCAGTTTAGGGTTTAGGGTTTAGCCTAAACCCTAACCCCTAAACCCTAAACCCTAAACCCGTTTAGGGTTTAGGGAGGGCGTTTACTATACGACGAAGCCTAGAAAGTTGGAACATGAGTTTCGCATGATTTCTGCTAGGATCCCTTATACTTTACCTTATGGCCATGAGGATGATACGGCTCCTACTTTAGGGCTTTTGCTATAGAAGCCTAAATCATTACCTACATTGTTCTTAAGGGCCCCTTATTATAATTGTATTATAAAGGGGCCCAAACCTTATTCTAATTAATAAGGCCCCTACAGTAGAGGATTCGGAAGTTGAAGGGGTGCAAGTCTGTGTTGGTTTATTGCCTTCAGAGTCTCAGGGTGGAGGCTGAGGATTTAGGGTTGAGGGTTTTTAGGTCTTTAGTTTGATTTGCAGCTTTAGGGGTCTGGGGGATTAAGGGTTTAGGGAGATTCACGGGACTTGCGGTGGGGTTTGTTGGGGTTCGCGGGGCGAGTGGTAGGCGCGTGTAAGAGGTTTGGACCAACATCCTATGTAAACGTCCGATCATACAGGTACACACATATGTTCGTGTCTACACATACATACATGCCATGCATGCATGCATATGCATATCCATACGCATATGCAGGTGCATACGCACAGATATGCGTGATATATGGTATATCACCAATTTTTACATATCAGGTAATTCATAATGCATGAGATGTAAGATGAAAGATATAAGTTGTGTTATCTAATATGTGTTATATGACAGATAATCTAAAGTGTATAATGTAAGGTGTCTGATTTGTAACAGGTAGTGTAGAATATGTAATAAATAAGATATAATACGTATTATACGATATACGATACATTCTACTTAATATTTTTGTGTCTGTCGTATCTATAACCGATAGTATTGAATATAATTAAAATTAACATACAGTATATTATATGCAATATACAAGATATAGTATATAATGGGGAACCTAGATCATACAATATACGACAGGTAATAGATTGTATATCATATGCGGTATAGTATGGATTATTTATCATACCATGCATAAGGTACAATATATTCCCTATGTAACATGTAAGAGATGTTGTCTAATATAGACAGTATATAACGTACAACATGTAACATTTCCCATACATTATATGATATACAAACTATGTTTTATATATTTATACAAACTATAGTTCATAGCATACTTTATGTTTACATCTAAGAAACAGCTGGGCAATGATATATATATATATATATACTGTATATATTGCAAACCCAGAACATGCAAATACGCCATTCCCCTTGTTGGCTGAAGAACCCCCCGATAACAACACTGTCCGGGAACCGCCTCTGAAATCATCCTCGCCTGTTAAAGCCTTGTTTGGATTACGGAGGGTTCAGGGCAAGAGCAAGAGCAAGCGGGGGAGCAAGAGCGAGAGAAGGAGCATGAGCAGGAGCAAGAGCAAGAGCTGGAGCAGGAGCAAGAACAGGAGCAAGAGCAAGAGCAGGAGCAGCATCAGGAGCAGGAGCATGAGCATGAGCCTGAGCAAGAGCAGAAATAGGAGCGAGATCTCCCCAAAGTGACAGTGGAGATCAATGCGCCAGTAATAACAACAGGGTTCGGGTGCATATTGGGAAGAGCCGTTTAATATTAGGGGAAGAGACTGTGAAATGAGTACAAGTGTAGATGTGCATATATATATATATATATCGATATATGTCTATATTACACACACATTTACAAAACATATATACACAGGTAAATTACGCCGCGATACACATAGACTAGATACTCAGGCAAACAAACACACACAGTAAGATAGTTTAGATATGTATGTATATAGGCATATGTGTAGACATATCTGCGTGCACATTTGCTACATTCCTTTAAGTCGTTAGGTTTGTAGTACAAGGCTTTTAGGTTTAGTGTTGGGTATTCAGTGTATTCAATCCCTCGTACATGCAGAAGAACAGGATGTCCAGAGCCTCACCCATGCACCAAATCCCTGAGACCAAACGCAAAACCTCGAAGCACCGGTTTAGGGTTTAGGGTTTAGGGTTTAGGGTTTAGGGGTTCAACCAGACACCCGAAACCACAAAGCCACATCAACGGACCCAAGTCATTCGGAAACCCGAAGCCCAAACCACCCAAACCCCAAAACCTCGAAGCAAACCTTAAACGTTGAGGCCGTTATATAGGGGCCCTTATAATTACCTACACTATCTTGGGGGTTCCTTACTATAATTATAGTATAATGGGCCCCAAAACCCTATTCCAATCATTAAGGCCCCTACATTAAACCCAAGATCTTCGAAGGCCGAAGCCGCCAAGCCCGGATTCAACCCCCGACCCCTTCAAACCCAGCTTTTCTCGAAAGTGTATCCTTAATCCCTCACCCACGGTTTAGGGTTTAGGGTTTAGGGTTTAGGGTTGCATTACCTGAAGGACCCTAAACTGGAGAATTTATGGTAGATTCCCTGGGTGGGAGTGCAGGATTAATATCAGCAACCGCACCTCCGCCCCCCCCCCTCTGAGGCTTTCCACAGAGTCCTCACATTTCCATCTCGACCCGGAGCTGCTACGCGGCATCCCGCTGAAGGCCGACCCCTTCCAAAGACAAAATGTTTGAGGGTGTGTCTGGTTGAGAGGGTTTAGGGTTTAGGGTTTATCAGTGTGTTTAAGGTCTTTCGGGGTTAACTGAGTAATGATGCGGAGGACTGAACGTAGCAATCCCAAGGATAGGCAGGAATGCTCGCATTGCTTCCTAAATTCACGCAGTCGGATCTTTTATACTAACATCCGAAATTCCTGAAGTCCTGAGGCCCTTGCCAAAAAACGGGCGAAAGACACCCTCAGGCTCTTCGTTAACCCCCTAAAGCCATGGAACAACTCGACGACCTAAACCCCCTGAACTCCTAAACCCTAAACCCCTGAATCCTCAGCCTGAGTCCCTTAAGCTAAAACAGTGGCCTAAATAACCTATACTATTGTGGGGCTTCCTATTTATACATATAGTATATTCGGCCCCAAAGCCCTATTCTAATTATTAAGGCCCCGACATTAAACCCTCGACCCTAAACCCTAAACCCTAAACCCTAAACCCTGAACCCTGAACTGAACCCTGAACCTGAAAACCCTAAACCCTAAACCCTGAAAGGCGGCCTTGTATGGCTTGGGGAAGATTTGGAGGAGGTCGCCGATGGATCTTCCGGATGACGCAGCGAGGGCCTCGCTGTGGAGCCGGCACCCCGCCGAACATTCTGGCTTCGCTTAGGGGTTTAGGGTTTAGGGTTTAGGTGTTTCGGGGTTTAGGGTATAGGGTTGAGGGTTGAGGGTTGAGGGGTTAGGGGTTTAGAGTTTAGGGGTTTAGGGGTTTAGGGGTTGAGGGTTTAGGGTTGCCTGACCAACTACTAAGGTTCTTCCTTATCTTGCCTTACTACAATCACAGTAGGATCGCCCCCAAAACATCCTGAAGCCCCTGGATGAAAGCTCCGGGGCCCGATGCTGCTTTGGGATGTGGCACTGCTTGGGATTTCGGATGATTTCGGATGGGTTAGAGCTAAGAGGGTTGCGGGTTCAGATGCAGGGAGGCTATATAGGATACTATAAGGGCCTAAACAATTATGAGTACAATTTTGAGGGTTCCTTATTACAAGCACAGTCTAGCATACCCCAAAACCCTATTCTAGTTAGTTTTTGCGGTTTCGGAGGGGTAAGATTTTTAGGGTTGAGCGTATTCAGGCTTTTGAGGGCTAATATAGGGGCCGCAAGAATTACCCGTATTGTTTTGTATGTTCCTGATTATAGCTAAACTATAAACCCTAAACCCGAAACCCTAAACCCCAAAAGCCTATTCTAATGATTAAGGCCCCTATATTAGGTCGAGGAGGCCTTTCGGGCTTTTCCGGGTTTCCGTCCTGTAGCTCGCATCGGCTTTTGGGGTATAATACAGGGTTCGTAGTGGTAGCAGGTAGTAGTAGTGCAGTAAGATGGTTCAGGGGTGCCTGGAGCTGATTAGGCGGATTTGGGGGGTGTCCATAGCCTCGAAACCAGGTCCGGATCACTCCAAGATAACTGCCAAGACTAAAGACATTGGGGAAAAGCTTTTCCCCCCCCCCAATATGTTTAGTTTATTTTGCAGATTTGTGCTTGATCCAGCAGCCTGAGATTTCCCATTCTGACCTTCACGGACGTTTATCCTCACTGTCCAATGACACCTTCTGTGCGCAAATGTCGCATGTCAGAGGCCGGACAGCCCAGCCCCCCAAGCTTAGAACCTCAATCACGATCCCAGAGCCCTCAAACTCGCAACCCTAACATCCTAAAGCCCTACAGCCCTCAAGCACTACAGCCCTAAGCCCCTGAACCGGACTCGGCGGCGGGTTCGTACCGATTGGGAACGCCCGTAAGAGTGAGGATCTTAGCTCAGCACTAAACCTACTACACAGAACCCCCAAATGTTCGACACCCCATACATTGATCCCAAAAACTAGGTCCACCGTCACGGACGAGTTGGATATCTTCCTGAGCCACACTTGGCACACACCGGGCTGGAAGAAGGCCGCGGGCTTCTTTGGGCACTGACTCCGCCCCCTCCCGATGTCAATCGTGAACCCCAAGCAAATCCTCCAACCTTGAACCATACTTGGTGGTTCATGGTCAGTTATAAGTAGGGTTATAAGTAAGGTAACTAGAGTTATAACCCAATTAAGGGACTTATAACCCCACCTACAACTACCCATGAACCTCCAAGTACCGGGCCCCAACCGCAAGTATCGAAGGCCTTGAGGGTAAGAGGCCTTGCGTGGGTTTGTCTCTGGCCCGCAGTGATTGTAATCCCTCTTGTGGCTCTGGGCTAGGTAGTATTTTAGGGGTACCCCTTAAAGGGTACCCCTTCTGAACCCTACTGTTGGCTCTCTTAAAAGGGACCTTATTGAGAGGGTCTATATCCCCAAGGGTCCCCCTAATCCTAGCTCCCATGGGCTTCGCCAATCCTTGACCTTAGCCCTTAAAGGCTGCAGCCTTCGGAGTCCAGAAGCCCGAGATCCAGAAGAGCTGCGATCCATATTCCTAGCACCTGACATGACGCACATACATACATACATACATACATACATACATACATACATACATACAGAGGCATATACACACGTATACATATACTTATGTGCGTATATATATATATATATATATATGTAATTTTGTTATAGTGGGTTTAGGGTTCACTCTTTGAGGCTTAGGGGCTAAGCGCTTGGGGCTTAGGGTTTAGGTCGAAATCTGAGGGCACAATCACCTGTTAAACCTGCTTTGAACAGCCGAAAGTGTTCAGCAACGTTGAGACATTCCTTACGGCTATTTACGTAGTTGTAACATAACATACCGAAAAATCCAAGTCCATTCTAATTATTCAGACCCCTAGCCCCTCAACCCTAAACGCCTGAACCTGGAGAGGTGCTTGCGCTGCTGGTCCAGTCGGGTTCCCACTGCTTCTTGTTCGGCTGGCTCCTCGGGGCTACGCTGGTCTATCTCCTGGACCCGGGTTGCAGGGGGTATAACCTCAGCCTCTAAAAGGGTTTAGGGTTTAGGGCGTAGGGTTTCAGGGTTGTCACGGCGGTCGAGCGTTCTGGTGGGTTGTCAGCATGTTTCAACAGGTGCAAGTGGGTTGTGCATCAGCGTTTGGTGATAGCAGGCTTTAACTACAGTTGTAGAAGGTTCATGGTGTTCTCCACTCCTGGGTAAGCTTGCCTTGGCCAGCTCCAACAATGAGAACGAATTTTGTCGCCAGGTCGAGGTTGAGGGATAGCAGGTTTGAGCAGCTTCAAGTTTGCGTCACTGAAAGTAATTAGCCCAACAGGCTCAACTCTGAACCCTAAACGCTAAACACTAAACCCTGAACCCTAAACCCTAAACCCACATCACAGCTGCATATCCTTTTTGTAACCCGGCCTCGAGAGACAGTTGCAACCGTTGTGTTTGTGACATACACCTGCTCCTTTCAAGGAAGTAAGAAACTAGTTATCCTAAAGGCCTGAGGTTTCCTGTAAGGGCTAACAATATAAGGGCCTAAATGACTACCAATACTATTCTGGGGGCTCCTTATCATAGTTATAGTACAATAATTTACCCCAAAATCCTGTTCTAATTATCACGACCGCTATGTTACGTCCATACATCTGTCTGGCAAAGGCCTTTAGACCAAAAGCCCCGTTACATTCTACCACGACATTTTTTGTGATGCTGCCGAGAATCCCAGGGTAAACACTTGTCACGAACAAGCATGGAACCCACAGTTGGCCGGGCTGGCTCATAGTCTTGTGAAGCTCATGTGATTAGTTACAAAGATCACTGCTGTTGCAGCAAGGACGTTTCGGTAGTGACGACAGCGATTACGGGTGAGTTGTATCACTCAGGCATCAGCGAATGAAGCGAGACAACACATCGTAGTATGTGTGCGTGCAAACTTTTATCTCCCGCTCTCTCTCTCTCTATATATATATATATATACGCATAGATAGAGAGACAGAGCATGTTCGGTTCTGTGCATGACGCATTTTCCAGCAGAAGGTTTGCCAAAGTAAGTTCTTCCAAGTAGTTATAGCGGAGTCATCTCTCGATGCACCTCGATGCACCTCGTGTTTTTCCAAAGCGGACGACGAGTTCAGTAGTATGGCGCTGCACTGGAATGCTCTACAGATCGTCATTCCATATTGCCTGAATACCATATTCATATGCCGATACCTTTCGTTTTGCAGGTATAGCAAGCGAGAGAGAAAAAGAGAGAGAGAGAGAGGTTCACAGCGAAAGACCGCCAGTGTTCTCGAGTGTTGCTTGGATGCTTGAATTATCACAAGCTGTTACGAAATGGAGTAGCAGCTGTGGATGTAGGGTATGCTTCCCGGTAATTTCTCTCTGATAGCTGCAACATTGAGTTAAGAAGTACTTCGCACAAATAGTCATACTGCCCCATGTCAAAAGTATTTGACCATCCACGTTGTGGAAGGGCGTTTGAATAGCAAGCTCGTGATGACAACAGATAAAACCCCGTAATATCCATATGTTGCCAATGGTAGGTTGCATCTTGCATCGTATGTCGTCGGTAATGGCCGGCATGAAGATTGACAGGTCGAATCTGTTCCTTTGATATCAGATGATCGTAACAAGAACCATTTAGTGTCGCGTGGGTTAAACAGCGACAAGTGCAGCAGTGTCCCACGTCAGGTTTATTAATACCATTTCCGGCACACGACTGCGTGTGTGATTTTTGATCATGTTTCGTATCACTTTGCTGTCCACCCGTGAAAGCCCTAAACCCTAAACCCTAAACCCTAAACCACCCTAAACCCTAAACCCTAAACCCTAAACCCTGTGCTTCCGATGACCAAAGATAAAAACCCATGTTCTAACGACCATGGTTTCTCGAAGGGACAGCCACGGACGCTCACCCCTGACATTGCAATGTGTTCCAAAAGGCACTCTTCGACCCTTCCGAGCATCAACATGTCCAATGCCATCGACAAAAATATACGGGCCTAAACAATTACCTAGACTATTTTGGGGGGGTTCTTATCATGAATATGGTATATTATATTGGGCCCCAAAACCCTAGCCCTAGCCCAATTATTTAGGCCCCTATGTTACTTGATTCTTTCAGAAACTCGGCACTCCGCGCAGCCGCATAGGCGCGCTGCCGTGCACAGCATCGCCCACATCCGAATTCCCCAGAATCCCCTAAACCCTAAACCGCGGATCCCCAAGCCCTAAACCGCGGAACCCTAAGCCCTAAACCCTAAACCATGGAACTCTAAACGCTAAATCCCTAACACGCGGAACCCAAACCGTCAGCCTCTAGAATTCTTGACTCCTCAAGCCCTCTGACAGGAGCTGGCTGGCGTTTTTCCTCCCTGGTGGAGCTTCCCGCGGGGGCTTTCCATGCGGCGCCTCGGCTCAAATCAGACCACGACTTCTTAGGGTTTAGGGTTTAGGGCAAATCTTCAAGGTCCTTCCATCTTGGCACCCTACTGGCAAGATACCCCGTCGAGACCACAAAGAGCATGCCGCAACGAACACCGCAGAACAAACTTACGAGGATGATACAGACCCAGCCAAAGGGCACTCACATCGCGCCATCGATTTTGGGGCTTGGGATTCAGGTTAGGCTGCAGGGTTCAGGTTTAGGGCACGACTTTGAAATCTATGAAAAACTATGAAAGCCGATCCTTCGTGTTCATTGGTTTTCTTTTTTCTACAGTTTTCAATTTTTCGGCACGTCTAAAACTATGAACGCCGATCCTTGGGTTTTCTAGTTGTTTAAAATGTTCATCGTTTTCATAGCTCTCAAGACTCGGCAGCAGGGTTGTCATATCGGCAGCAGGCTTTTCCTAGTTTTCAAAGTTTCGGCGTTCCGAAAAGTTTGAAAACGATGAAAACTATGCGAGCCGATCCTTGGTTGCCATAGTTTTTCAAAGTTTTTCATAGTTTTCAAAGTTTCGGCAGCAGGGTGTTCGTAGTTTTCAACGTTTCGACATTCCGACGAAAACTATGAAAGCTGATCCTTGGGTTTCATAGGGTTTTTAACAACTTTGTAGAGCAACTGTAGGCCCCTAATTATTTCATTCTATATCATTTTTCAACCACTAAGTGACTATGTGGGGAACATTGCAAGTCAAGACTGATTTGGAATATGCTGTGCTGGGGCTCAAGGTGCGTGAGAAAAAGAGACCGTGAGCTCTCCTTCGAGCTTGTATGGTACCCAGAGACTCCAATACCCCTTAATTAAGGAATATACCTTAAACCTTATTAGGGATCCTACTATAATTTAAGGTATATTCCTTAATGAAGGGGTATTGGAGTCTCTGGGTATAATCCCTAGCAAGTATTCGTATCCAAAGCCTGCGTGAAGCCCCAATTTATACACCCGGTATGAGAGCTAAACCTTCACGCTGTAAACCTGTAGTCCTACACACAAGAAACAGCAGTTCATACATATGTCAGATGTAACATATGTATCATACGTGAGTGTATATGCGTGTGTATATCCTAAACCCTAAACCATAAACCCTAAACCCTAAACCCTAAACCCCCTATATGTACAAATATACACCTCATAATACTTACAAGCCGCCGTACAGGTGAAACAAAAATGCAGGCGCGGCCTCGCCAAGAGCCCCTGAACCCAATAAAAACAGCAGCAACAATAATAGCAGTTATATCAACGGTTTAGGGCTTAGGGTTTAGGGTTTAGGGTTTAGGGTTTATGTCACAAATGGTGGTAGTAGTAGTAGTAGTAGTAGTAGTAGTAGTACATAACCATAAACCTAAACCCTATACCCTAAACTAGGGGTTTTCAAAAACACAAGCACGTAAACCTCGGGCCCTAAATGACCCATGGCCCGGGGCCCTAAGCCCAAAGCCTTAAGCTTCCTGAGACTGCGGTGAAAAGGCTCGGCGGTTTTCTTGGGTCCTTCGCCGGCCTCCTGACTTCGCCGTATATGCCCTGGTGCTGTGGTGGCCGTGAATTGCCGGGCCCCATAGAGAAGCTCTCAGGGCATCGGGGTGTGCGGTTTAGGGTGTAGGGTTGTAGGTCGTATGGTTTAGGGTGTAGGGTTATAGATCGTATGGTTTAGGGTGTAGGGTTATAGATCGTATTGTTTAGGGTGTAGGGTTATAGATGATCGTATGGTTTAGGGCCTTTCGGGTTTAGGGTTATAGGTGATCTTATGGTTTAGGGCCTTTCGGGTTCAAGATGATCTTATGGTTTGGGGTGTAGGGTTAGAGATGATCTTCTGGTCTAGGGTTTAGGGTTGGAGATGATTGTAAATTGTAAGGTTTTAGAGTTCAGGGTTCAGGGTATAGGGTCAGGATGTTGTCCCACCTTGCTTGGAGGGTTCAAGCGTTTCGGGTCCGGGATCGAGGGCATTGGATTTCGGTTTGGGGGTTTGTGGCCGTGGGCTGCGGGCCTCAAGTCAGCTCCATATTAGAACGAGAAGATATTCGGCACTCTGGTCTCATACTCTGGTCTATTTCCTAAACCCTCATAAAACACGTGTGAAACATCATGGGCATATCCCTGACGGTTCACGGCTTTGGGATTTCTGTTGTAGGGTTCCGTGAGGGGTATAGGGCAGAGATCACGTGTTTTAGGGTTTAGGGCTTAGGGATGCTAAAGTCAGCAGCGGATCCGCAGTGCACGGCCATCCCGTCCCCACAGCATAGAGCTCCGAAGCACGAATGCACGAATACCTTAAGCCTTCAAACCCTTAAGCCCTAAACCCTTAAAGCCTTAACCCTTCGACACTAGGCCCTAAACCCTACATGATACTAAGCCTTAAACCCTAAATGATACTTAGCCCTAAACCCTAACTGACATCAAAACCTTTACCCTCAACCCTAAAACAATAAACCCTTGAACCCTACGCCCTGAACCCTAGTCCTCATGCTAAGATCCGCACCCAGCCTTCGTTTCCTGGGCCAAGCACAGGTGTTTCCTTGACGTGGTCAGCATCAACCAGGCAGGAACAGAAAAGGGCAGCAACCAAAGTCTACCAGATGGTTTAACAATTTACGGCTTAGGGCCGAGGGCTTAGAGGCCACAGGAGGGTTTTAGAGTTTAGGGTTAAGGGATGTAGAGTCACGACTAAGCCTCAGCCCTGAACCTACGAGAGGGGAGTGCGGGAGCTGTTCTCTTCCGGGTTTGGAGCTCGGGAAGTTTCAGGCAATCGCAGGCAATAGGGTTTAGGGTTTAGGGTTTAGGGGTTTAGGGTTTAGGGTTTAAGGGTTTCTTTTTTGCGGAGTTTAAGGCTTGCGGCTTGAGGCGTAGTGTTTTGGGGTATTCACGGTGTCGTCCAGTCTTTGGTGTGGTGGACGTCGGGCTTGTCTGTTCTGGACACTTGGTTGGGCGTCGCTGGTCCTGTAGTCTCATATTTTGTTTCTTCCAAACCAGTCAGTCGGAACGGCTTCGTGTTGACTTTCCCATGTATGGGAAGACATTAAACCCCACACCCTAAGCCTTACACTAACTCGCTAAGCAGAGTTCAATCCCCACCAGAAGAGCGAACCAGACAAAGTTTCCGGTAATAGTGAACCCTTAGACTAGTGAGGGTTTAGCCGTTTGGGGGGTTGGTTCTTAGGTTTGCATTTGCGAGCTTAGGCTCGTATGACAGGCGGTTTGTCCGCTTGCCAGAAATCCATAGTGCACTGGCCCCTTCGTCGCCGCCAGAAGCCAGCATGTGTACAAAGCCGCACACCTTGCAGCAGTACAGTAGGAGACAGTCGGCTTAGAACTTTGGGCTATGAGCTCACTTCAAGTCAAGATGTAGTTCCACTGATTCTCTCGTTTCCTTCCCGCCTCTCAAACCTTAGCCACATATATATATATATATATGTATATATATATATATATATACATATATATATATATATAGCCTTCCACTTCTCCCCAACGTGCCATAGGCCGATTCTGAGCTCATGCAGCGG